GTACTCTATTTGTCAAACATGAGCTAGCTCCATGATAACTGGATACAAATGCTGATATAATTGTATTTATAATTTTGATAACAAACCAAATCTCAATAATCTAACTTCAGACTTGACATTTCTGCTTAAGCAATGGAGATCTCACAGAAAGAGCATTAGTGCTTAGATTTATTTTCCACAAAATCTAGTATCAAGTCTCACCATTTTTTGAGAAACAATATTACAATACATACCAGTGTTGTGAAGGTTCCTTATGATGTCATGTTTTTGTAAAGGCCTGAAAATACCGTAGTTCATGCAACTGTACTTTGCCTAGTAAACTCTTTGGAGATAGGATTTCACATCACTAAGATATGAAAGGACATGACCTATGAAATTACAAAGTGTGTACTTATCACCTATCTTTTCTGTCAGCTTCTATATGCACTAATATTACTGCCTTCTTAAAGCTTAAACAGGCATTGCTCCAACCTTAGTAGGCATCCTTTCATTGTGATCTTAACCAAGAGTAGAAGTAGTGGTTTCCCACCTTCCTTATTGATTTGGAACAGCAGCTGCTTCCACTGTTCAGACAACAGAAACTCCAGTTCCTCTTGAAAAAGGGCTTTTACTCTGATTAAATCCTAAGCATAGAACACAACCTCAAAACTCCCAGTCTAATACGCTTCTGTGGTGTGAGAAAACAGAAGGTCCCCATTCTGGACTCATTTCCAAGTTCTATCTAACCTAGATCATACTTTTCCAGGTATCCACTGATACATAGTGAAAGGCGATCTCAGTATAAATCTTAGCTATTGCATAAGGTTTAGAAACCCCCAAACTCTATTGCATGGTGAAAAAAGCATGTGGGATGTGCTTAGTGGTTGCAGCCAGCACAAAATCTTGTTGCTGAAACTGAGAAACATGATTTTCATGTCAATGTTATGCAATGAGTTAGAAACCAGGATCTAATGCCAATCAAACTGGCACAATTGCATTTTGCTACGCTGGGTCCTGGAAGCTGAATCACAGTAATAGAGGGACAATGGCAGCTGCACAGGGAAGCCTTGTATAGCTTTTTCCTAGGCAAGGTTGAACAGGTGTAGCCTTTAACTTCAGATTTGGAGCTGCCTCACTCACTACCATCTAAAAGAAGCTCTGTGGGATGCTGGCTAGTCATGGTCACAGCCCAGGATGTCACCACACCTCTGCAGAGCACCAAAACTGTTCTGGGTTTTGTGGGGTTTTGCTGGTTGTTGTTGCTACAGGAATGGTTGTTCTACCACGATACCTTTTGTGCTTTTGAGGATCTCATATTTGTCAATGAAGTTAAAGAGGAGGCTGACACCAAAAACTGCTTTTCTTTAGTATGTGTGGTACAGAAGTACTTTGAAACCCATCAAAAATTGCCAAAAATTTGAAAATCAAGAATATTTTGAATCTTCGTAGCTAAAATATCTCAAAGTTCAAAGATTAGAAGTTTGGTGTGCACTAAAGAGCCATAAACCCAGCATATTTTACTTGAAGTTTTTGTCAAAGGCCATATGATGAGAAATCGACATTCAAAAATATTTTAAAATCAACAGTAAATACCGACTTGTATAATCAAGACAAATGACTGGTTTAAACACCAAAATCAAAACTTCCACTGGACAAAGGCCTGTATACAAATTACTTTTGCATTTATAAATATTAGAGAACCACATGTAAGTATTTTTAACTTTTCTATATATGATGCTAAGATTCTCATTTTTTGCCTGGTATCTAACACCCCCACAGAAATGATAAAGCTTCCGAAAAACAATAAAATAACCCAGCATATTCTTCATCTCCTTCCTACAAGTAGATAGAGCATTTTAGGAATGTAAAATTTAATCTTTCACCTAGATCGTTCAATAGGCATAATGCTGTTTAAAAAAAAATATATAAGACCAGTAGAATTGAAATAATAAATGTCAGTATTTCTGGCTCTAAATCAGGAATGGCAAAGTCATTCTAAACTGAATATAACTGTTAAGTACTTCAGAGAGTCCTTGTCAATGTGGTAGGAAATGTGTATTGTTTTCCAGAATTTCAATCCATTTTTGGGAACACAAATGACATAAATCAACACCTTCTGTCTGTTTTTATTGTCAATGAGTCTTTCAGGCTACATTCATTAGTCCTATTCACATTCTCACTTTTGGTCAAAGCAGTGACTTAACAAGCAAAAGCTTTTGCAGTCATGTATTCTCTAAAGCTGTGCAAACAGTTGTCCAGCCCTGCAGCTTATGTTCACTAATCCTGCTTTAATCAGAAGTCTGACTACCTTTGGCGAAAGCAGACAGTCTTTGTGAGTTAGCTACCATGATTTAACTTGGAAAGATTCTTCTAAAAGGTTTAATTGTTAAAATTGTCTTCACCTCCACATTATCTTAAGAGCCTTTAGTTCCTCACATAACATTATTTTTATTAATCACCATTCTGGAAGGTACAGACATTGCTTATAGCACACATATTACATAAACTTTAGGGACCTGAGCCATGGCTGCATGCAAACCCAGAGTGTTTACTGGTGCATTTGTTGCATGGTATATTTGTTCAGTTTGTACCAACACCTTTCCTAGGAAGTACAAACTCTTTTATTACCACAAATAAACTCAAGCTTTCAATTTACTTTATTGTAAATCATGGAATAATCATGGTGTGGGAACACATAAAAGTAGAAATCCATGTTCTTCTGCTTTCTTGCTTATTGCCGGATGAGAGAAGTGATTCAAATAAAGTAATTATCTTTTAATTTAATTTGATAATATTTTATGGAAAATAGTAATTTTTAACATGCCATTTCTTTACTAGTGGGTTAATGATATTTGGTGCTTTCCTTGCACACCCATTTCAAAGATTCTGTAAATGTATAAGAATCCTAGTCTTAATTTGTCTTTATAAAATTATTTAAGAATTAATAAAAATTAATCAGATTAATTCTTTCCTTCCTCTTCTTCCACCCGTTTTGTTCCCTTCCTTCTAAAGGAATCAGTGCCCATGCCTTTATGTGCATGTTCGTCCTTTTCTTCATAGTTTTCTGATCCTTTGATTGGTTTGAAGAAAATTTCTAATTTCAGTGGTCTCAAAGGCGTTCCGTTTGTTAATATTTTTGAGCAATTGGGATTTAGACAGAGAATATATTTCCAAATTAGTTGATTTTTCTGAGAAAAATAATATGGTCGAAGGACAGCCAGTGGAAAACATTGTGAATTCAGTCAAATCAGAGATACTACAAACTTTTCTAACTGCTGGAAAGGTTTATATCGATTTTATAAAATAATAGACAACACATATCCCATCCCTCAATAAAGCAAACCTTACCTCCTGTTTTGAGTCTTTGAATTCCAAGGAGAGGGGAAGAAAGATTTCACACCTTTTTTCTCCTTGAACTCTCACTAAAACTCAGCCAAAAAAGGACATCTTTTTTAGATGCATTTTAAAGTAGGTTCTAGGAATTTTGTTAGTCCATGAGCTATTAGCTAAAACTCTCAGACTATTTCAACAAATCTCGTGATCTGAAGAGCTTTAACTTATGCCTTTGAGTGCTTTAAGTTTCCTGGTTCTGAAGTGGTCATAGATCTGATAATCAGTGAATACTGATAATACTGGTTATGTGAATACAGAACACTGATCAGAATACAGTGAGTGCAGAATACTGACCACATGTCCTCTCTGGGACTTTATTTCTAAAAGTAATAAAAATTTCTGACGTGGGAAACCTACTTCTTACCAAAAAAAATGGATTCTACATTTTTAAGTTCCTGTGGGAAAAGGAGATCTGGAAAATTGTTTTGCAGAGAATTTTGTTCTCACTCTTTTTTTAATGGGCAGAAAGTATGATTGATAGTTAAAAGATGTGGGGTTTTGTAATTACTACATATATCCTGAAAGTAAGGATTATGCTTAATTGCACTCATCTATCTACCTTTCCTCATTTTCAGATTCAAGGCTTCAACATTATAAACAACCAGTTTTCCTATGCAAGTGACTGTACAGGTTTCTTCACTCCTGGAATTTGGATGGGCTTGGTGACATCTATAATTTTACTGTGGATCCTGACCTATGGAATACATATGATCATGCAGCTCACAACAAACAGCAGATTTGATGATCCCAAAGGTCCAGCTCTATCAGTTCCTCAGACAGAATAGCCATGGGTTGACTTAATGCCACTGTGGCTTTTCCGGGTCTGATGTTTATGATTTTTATAACCTTTTTACTTCATAATATGTTTAACTTAAAAAGATATCATAGGAAAAGCAGATGATTAAACTACATATAAAAATGATCCTTGTGTTTGGAAACAATTATAATTCTATCTATTATTATGATCATTTGTTAACAGCTTTTTGTGTTAAGGTTCTAAAGTGAGACTCTGGAGGTTATTACTCTCTCTGGCTATTAGAAAGACCATTAAAAACTTCCTTCAGATTAACTTCTATTGGCAAAGAAAACATACCAAAACACGGATAATTGGGAATAATAAAATATTTGATGATAAATTATATATTGAAAATACTGTTAAAGGCTCTTTACTGTCGTGATGATGCTACATCTTAAGAAATTTTAAGTGTGTTTTGAAATTTTTTATATTGAGTAAAACATCCAGAAATGTACAGAACTAATAAATATAAATCACTAAACAAATGATCCTGAGAAGTCTTTTCAAAATACATCACTTTGTTCAGATGTGGTATCACAAAGGAGAGTGGGTAGATTAAGGTTTAGCTTCCATCTACTGTTATCTAACACTTGTGACAATTTCGTTGAATAATGCTGACTTGTGTTTGCTTTAGCAATGGACAGCTGATGGGAGGTCAGTCAGTGACAGATTGGTCTTTGTCCAAACTGATCACAAAATTATATTTGGTGTCACGGCAATGAATGCAAATTTTCAAGTTGGGAACCTATTAGGATTGAATGTGCTGGTGCAGACAGCATCTTAACAGGGATAAGGTAGTTTTCTTAGCATCCTCCATTTTACAGGCAACTTTGGAAAAGTTATGAAGTTCACAAAAAAAGGAAAAATAATAGCATAAAAATCATTAGAAGCACTGTGTCAATGTACTGTTTAAGTCTGAGCATTTTATGGTCATCTCAGTGCTTCTAGAAGCCTGAAAACATTCATTGTGTTCTGTATTCTTCTGCAATTAATACAAACACTGCATCTTCTAACTGGGTAATCTGATTATGGAATGAATTACTAAATTTTATGTAGAACTGGGAAATAGTAAAATGCAATGATAAAATGGTAAAAAAATGGTAAAAATAAGACTTTTATTATTTCTTTTCAAACATTTTTATGACTGTGCATGTTCAATTAGTAGTTTAAAACCCACAGAATATAATCTTGACAAAATTACATTCATAAAATGAGAAAAATTCTAACTTTTCTGATCTTGATCCATGTCATGGTACAATGATACAGAGGAAAGGCAGTTAGAATCAACTATTTATCTAGAAAGACAATAGTTTCTATCCATCACTTCTGGGTGTCACACTTTTATTATGCAGTCCAAAAAGTAGATTAAATGCTGTCTGAAGCTATTCCTTCTGAATCATTTAATCCTGACCTGGAAAACAAAAGGAAAGTGTCGCATAACTAGCAGAGGTGTCTCCTGTGCTGTAATATTTTTCTCAACTGCTTTTCTGAACCTCAAAGAATGCATTTGATCTACACGGAACCTCTGTGTTAGAAAGGCTTATTTTCTTTGCACAAATTAGTTGCCAGGAGACAACTGGACTTGTTCTATTAATTCTCCTTTCAAAGCAAGTTGTGTGAATATGACAACAGAAAATTGACATAAAAGTCATGTAAGTATATCTAGAAGAGGGAAATGCAATGCAAAGAACTTGATTCATAGAAAAAAGCTTTCTTAGGACTTTTATCAAGCTTCAGCAAAATTTGGAAAAGATTTTATTCAACAGTGGCAATAAAAAGAGCTGAAGAAGAGCTTTATCAGGCCTCCTAGCTTAGGATTCTATCTCCAGCAGTGGTATGAGTATGGAGAGCATCTGTTAGTGCTCCCTACAGGTGTTCTCCATTCTCCACCATTTAGCTCAGGTACTTCCACAACCAGAAGTGTTGCCTTCTTATTTAATAAATCTGGGTATAGCTATAGCAAATAAATTTGTCCAGCCTGCTCTTAAGCCTGTGGGCTCTCATACAGCTCACAGTGTCCTGATTATAGTATGGCACTGGGAATGCCTATATCCTCTCTTGCTTGCCTAGGATGGACTCTGGAGAAGAGGACAAGGAAACAGTCTCATATTGACTGTACCGTGAGGAAAAGATAAGCTTCTTTCAGAAGAGCTGTTTGATGTGTTTGGCATTACACATTCCAAGGTGAAGGTGAAGGCATTTTTAATAGAGAAAAGCTTTTTCTTCCTACCTTCTCTCACAGCAAGGATACCATGCTTTGGCAAGCAGGGCCTTTGGAGGCATATAGTCTGTTTCTATAGCGACTTGGGATGTCTTTGTAATGGAAAGATCAAACCACAGGCTTATCCTTGTGATGTCTGTGCTGGAAAACACATCAGGAAAAGAAAGGAACTATCTGCAGCTCTGGCTGTCCTGTGGGCCAGGTGGACTGGGCTCTGGGGACAATGGCTTGTCTGTCATGGAAAGGAAGTGTTCTCTGTGCACATGGGATGGGCTCACCTTGGCTGGCTGGCAAAAGCCCACCATGCTGCTCAGGCCTCTTCTCACAGGGACCACCCCTGCTGACAGCAGCTGGACACAGATACCCCAAACCCCATCTCAGAGGACCATGCAGGCTGCTGAAAGCCCTACAGCTGCCCATCACGCTTCCTGTGGCTGGAGACAAGGACAACTGATCACTACGTTCAGCAGGGCTGGCTTCCTTCTTTGTAAATAGGACTATGCCTCAGGAAATTCTAGGAGGATTTTGCACCTGTCTGTGTTTGTTTCCCTTTCTGAATAAAGTTGAAGCCCTGTCAGGAGCCTTTCAGTTCTACATACTTCTCATTTCACAATTCAGTTTAATCGTAAATGTACTTGTTAAAACATGCCTGTTTTGGGAGCCGTTCCAGACAGAATATTAGCTCTGTCTGGAAGAGTGTGAGCCTTTAGGAATTCTACCAGAGTTCGCTGAATTTATCAGAAGTACTGACTTCTGTGTGTGCTAGCTCATTTCTCTACCAATTTAAAAAATACACTGTAAAGATGAAGGAGATGATGGATAGGAGTATGAGTTAGAAAAGTAAAAGCATTTTTTTCATTTATATATATATATATAAATTAAATTTTATGGAAAAAAATCAGGACCTTTAAAAAACTACAGCAAAACTCAAAAAATCAATTTAACTCTGAAGAATTGAGTTAAACCAGAGAAATCCCAAAACTAAACACAGAAATCCTGAAGAAATAAGCTATTTCATCACAAAATGCAGCAATAATCATTTATTGAAAGGGATAGCTGAAATGGAGCTAGAATCTGAACTTCTTTATTTGTGTCCTGGTCTATTGATTTGTCTGCCTGTGAAATTACTCATTTCACAAATCCTACTGAAACCCATCAATGACTTATAATGACACAAAATTATAATAGAAATAGTCCAAGAATAGTATTTTTATGGAGGCAATAAAGGAAGACAGGTTATTCCATCTACAGGGCAAAACTAAATGAAGTAATTAGCTCCACCTTTCTTTCTGTGTGAATAATAAAATTATATGCAAATCTAAATCAGTTTAATTATTAGGCAATGCTCAGGCATTAAAGACTTTGTAATTATTTCAGTGTAAACTGAGGTCAAGCAGGAGAAGCTATGGAGGCTCAAAACAATGAATTACCTTGAAAACTAATTCCTAAGATAATCAGAGACACAAAAAAGTCTGAATGTTGGATACTGGTTACTGCTGGCACAAAACATAGCAGTGGTGGTGATGATTTTCAGGGCAAGTAGAGTGACAATCTTATCGTTACACTGAACAAGAGGAAGCGACAATGCACATAACAGGGGCAGGGGGCTTCTTCTCCCAAAGGCTGTGTTTTAATCTTGCATTCTGTGATGGAATGACCTTGCTTGGCTGCCAGATGCCCACTTGGCTACTCTCTCCCTCCTCCTCCTCAACAGGACAAGGGAAGAAAATAAGATGGAGAATTTTGTGGGTCAAGATAAAGACAGTGATACCATTTAGCAGTACCTCTATGGGCTAAAAAGATCTATGGAACATTAATTTATTGCCAATTAAAATAGATTGGGAAGTAAGAAACCAAAGCAGCACTAAAACAATGCCTTCAATCTGCACAAGTGCCAAAAAATATCATGGGGTCTAATACCTTCAGTAAAACCCCCTGATCTTCAGTTTGCCAATAAAAGGTCCTGTTCTCATGTTAGTTCATTACCGATTAAAAATAAATAAAGGAGAAAGGAACAGTTTCTTCAGAACTCAGATTTCTAAAGGCTTAAAAATGTTTGAAGTACAGGGGGGTGGGGCAAGGAAAAAAAAAAAAAAAAAAAGAGATCTTACCAAGGGGTGGTTCCTTTAACAAGCAGTGTCTCCTCACCCAAATGTGGGCCATTGTCTTTCTTAATCTTCCTGCTTGTGTAGGTGGAAAGGGGACTTACAACAGTGCCCAAGAGCAAATCAGCTGTTATTGATGTCCCACAAATGAAGTGGCTTCCTTCTCTCCACCACAACTTTTTGTATACCTCCTGTGGAAAAACAGGTTCCCTGCTCCAGATTATCTGGATTTCTGTATAACCCCTGGAGCTGGTATGTTCTTGAATTATTATAATTGAGCTTCATTTTATACTGTTTTTTATGTCATTCATTATTGCCATAATAGAAGATCGTTTACTGAGTGATTGTATGTTTTCTGCTTTGCAGAGAGAAATGTAAGTGTCCAGTGGAAGACTGAGAAACCCTTTTTTATTGCTGGTATTTCTTTAGCTAGTTGTGTAAAAGTAATGGTGTACAGTCAGCATGACATCATATGCAACTAACTTTCGTTAATGAAAACTGTAAAAATAATGTTTGTAATGTAAAAGAGAACCCTAACAAATGCTTTCATAAAAGTAATTTAGGAAGATGGATAAGTTAAGGGCTTTCTGATGTAACATTTGAATTATAATTTTGTGTATTCTATTTACTTTGGGTAAATATGGATGCATGCGGATAGCAGAGTGATCAATTTAATTATTTAACAGATATCTTTCACTGAAGTGTACTAGCATGATTTAAGATATTGCTGTCCCTACCTACCCTGCCTTTCATTCATGTATATTTGTGCCTCAGCTGCCTGTTAGGACCACACTGCCGTGTTCTCTTGTTGCACCAGTGATGTAAAGTATTAGATTGTGCACTAGAGTAGCAGAGATGCAGGTTCCTGTCTGGGTCTGCTATTCCTGCTGCTGAGTAACAAAATCCTGGCAGAGAAGCAAAACAGATATCTGCAAACACTGATGTGTAGCAATATTGAGGAAAGATCTTTACTATAGTTGTCAAAAGGGGAAATATAAAAGATGCAAATAGCCAAGTGCCTTGGCAGGATCAACATTACTGACAGCCTGAGAGGCAGGACCAGCTCCAGTTCAGTAAATGTGTTCGCTGTCTCCACATCCCTCAACACACTTCAGCTAAAAACCTGTGTCAGGGCAAGGTCTGGAGTGCTCTGTGTCCTGCTATGAAGACCCCCTATGGCAGAAGATAGTTAAAGAAAATCAAGATCCAGCTGTGGACACCTTCTCTCATTGTGTATCTTCAGACTGCAACTGAACAGGGATGGCCCAGGCTCCCAACAATCTCAGCTCTTCTCTTTAGTGAAAAAGAGGAAAAACAAATGTGGAAGAGGAAAGGCAGATCATCATGTCTTCCTCCACAGTGAGAATCCTTGCCCTTCTGGGTGGTTTCCCCAGTCCTTGCCTAGAAAAGCAAGACTGAAAACAAAGGACCCAGCCACTCTCAGTAGAAGTATGCACAGCTGTGTGATGCTGGGCCGTTTTGGAATGTTGTTCAAATCTCCAGCTTTCTCTCCCAGAGCCACTCTTTGGGGCTGTCTGCAAACTAAGGCAGAAGTCACTAATTTGGCTGCCCTCCAGAGATTCTGAGGTAGCTGAAAGGGAGTGTAAGGAGGGTACTGTGCAGCTATATTACATTTCTCTTAACACCTGCATGAAACATCAGAATTAGACCCCAGAGTCCTTGAAACAGAAAGTTGACTTCTGAGTAGAAAAATCTGAGGTTTCATCTATCTTTTTATAACTAACTGATATTACAATAACAAAATAGACTGCTTTTGCTTGTAGAGCTTTCTTGGATATGTACTTATACTGCAGAGTGGACCAGATCCATCAGTTTTTATTGATTTAGATTTTAACAGGAGCTTTTGCCAGAGTACTGATCTGTTTTGACATCAGAATTTACACCTTAATGGCTTACTGCTACCAATTTCTGTGGTCTAACAGTGATTAATAGATACCTAAATGGAGATAAATTAGTATCTTGGGGTTTTCATCTAGGTTTTGTTTTGGTTTGTTGGGTTTTTTTTGTGGGTTTTTTTGTTTGTTTATTTTTTCTTAAATAGCACACAAAATGATGCACTGGATAGATCAGGGAATTTATAGTTCATTCATGTTTTGACATAATTTGAACCTATTTCTGCTCTAATTGCTTGTATAGCACTCTGAAGTTCAAGGGGGCAGAAAGGATTTATTGGGTTAAGCATACTTCTGGCAATGGGTAAACGAGCTAAAGATTAATGATGACTTTTCTGAATTGTAATATCTGAAACTCTCTATAAAACTGGTGTCTAAAAATTAAGAAAGATATAGATTGTTTGCCTAATGAATTCCTATCTTCTGTTTGTTATGAAACTCTTGGCTAACACTTGATCTAGTTACTTTTACCAACTTATTTTATCAAAAAGGTGAGGGCCTCCTTCATCAGGGTCACTGTTTTCATCTGGATAGCTGGTGGTTTCACTTCAAAGACTAAGATTGCATGTTACTCATTAACTAAATCTGCCCATTGTCTAATCAGGAGTGAATGCATCTTCTGCAAATCCAGGGTCAGATGCAGATGCTCTGCAATGGGACTCTCATTCCAGAAGCTCTTTATATTGTATCTGGAAGTTACATAGTGATCAAAATTATAGCTTGTGTGCTTCTCTGGGCCTCCTGTCTCAGTGTCAGCACAGTTCAAGTGCAATAGAATCTGTGTTCTAGCACTTTGCACCCTGAAGGGCACTTGCAACTGTCATTTGTGTTCGAAGTGAAATAATTTCATTATTGTCATTATATATTATTGTTTTACTGTATTTGGGAAGAGGATGATCTTTCCCCTTTAAACACTAAGGCCAATGTTAAACAATTTTTTATTGGGTACTTCTTTTAAGGAACCTTGAATCTTCACTCTACTGGTAGTACTGTGGTGGTAGTCATTTCATACCAGATACTAATACAAGCTTCTGATACAGAAAGGGTCTCCAAATCTTGACATATTAATGGAAATCAGTTCATGTATACATTAAAACTGAAGCTTTTTGTCAGAATACAGCCTCTTTTTTCTAGCATGCTACAGTATATTGCCATATATAAGCATGAATAAGCTCAGCTAATACCTGAGACAGCCTGGTTGTGCAGGCCATGTGGTTTGTCCAGGACCATAAAATTAGCAGTTCTCCCCCAAAACCTGAGGGACTAATTTGAAGATTATACATTTACCTCTTCCTCCTCTGCAGTATGGTGGTCCTGCCCTGTCTCCTCCAAACAAAGTATTATCACACTCCCATCATACAGGCAGAAGTGATTTGACATTTGAATATCGTGCCTGTTTTGCTTCATTATTTTTGTTCATGGGACTATGCCGTCCATTTGGACTTTTGGCTTTAAGTTTGGCCTGAGTTGAAACATACATTGTTTCTCCACTTCTTAGTATTTGCAATGTTTGTCCACTTCTCAATGTTCTTAGCCAGTAAGCAGCAGAAGTGAAGGTTGATGTGATCTGATCTGGAAATACTGTCAAGTGTGAAACCTGAGGTTCCTTCTGTCCACACAAGGCAACACCTTCTAGCTGGTCCTTCCTGTTAGGTGACCTGCTTGCTTAGAGCTGAGCTCTGTGCTTAAAAGCATTTGACAAGTACAATGCACACCTGAGAGTAGCACAAGGCCCATTTAAAGCCCTTTTCAGAAGGAACCTGCTTATTTGTTTAGAAAATAGAGGCTATTGCTTAACTAACAATATTTCAGTCACTTCCATGGCAACAGGCTCTGAGAGACAAAGCAGTTCTTCACCAGAATACACAGCAGCTTGAAAACAGAATGGAGATGATTTTACATAGCAAAAATATGAAGTTTCCATTAATTTTTAAAGTTTTGAATTAACCTGGTAGTTAGCTGATGATTTAATCAGTGAAGTAATGGCTATTCTGCTAACCATTTCTGAGCAAATTGGCATTGATTTCGTTCTGTTGTCAGGCATCCCTTGTTTTTGTAATAACTGGGGATCTGCCAGCACAGCGTGGTGCCCCCATCTCTCCTCTGCCCACACAATCTGCCAGGTGCCTTGCAATGATAACTGTATTTAAGGGGGAGAAACATTTGGAAATTATGGCTTAGTTCAATGGTACTGGATTTTTTCTTTGAAGAAATCAAAAAGTCAAAGGAATATGTAGCAAGTTACAGCCATGTTTGTAATTGAATGTGAAAGAATATCGAAGTATTTGGAAGTGACGAAACATGGTTGATGCGGTCTTTTGGTTGTCCTCCCCCCCAGGTTTTTTTAACTGGTTCTTGAGAAACAGAACAAGCCTTGAAAGACCTATACAAAATCATAGTCCTTGCTGCTTTTGCTCATGGGTGTTTGAGTCCCATATTCCTAAAAAGCATCTGGGAAGGACAAGTGTCCTGATATCCTCTTATTTTATCATTGCATCCTATTTTGCCTAATGATTGCATCAAGATTGTAAGAACATAAAGTACCAAATTCATAATCTCCTGTTAGCATTTTTTAAGACAGGTGATTTTGAGAGCTAAAAAGGAGTCCAGTTTTAGAGCAGAAACACCACAATACTGTTGTAGTCCTATTAAGAACTACTTAGCTGTAAGGTAACTCCATAAAATCCTTGATTTTGCACTGAAAACAAGGTCTTCTTGAAAATGCTTCCTCAATTATATTCTTTCAGTTAAGTATGTAGACCACATAACAGAAATTTTTGACAAACCAAATGCTGCTATAGAAGCCACTGGCTCAGCAAACAACAGGAAATATTCTAGCTAGCTACCTATCCATCTATGCATCTATATATCTCACAGAATCACAGAATGGTTAGGTTTTAAGGGACCACACTGGATCATCTGGTCCAACCTCCCTGCTCAAGCAGGGTCATCCCAGACCACATGGCGCAGGATTGCACCCAGATCATTCTTGAATATCTTTGGGGAGGGAGACTCCACAGCCTCTCTGCACAACCTGTTCCAGTGCTCAGCACTGCAGAGTAAAGTTCTTCCTCATATTCAGGCAAAGCTTCCACCCACACACCTTGTTGTTGCTCAGACAGAGAAACACCACCTGTGCTTTGCCATTGCTGCGCCTTGACACACACAGAGGCACAGCAAAAGCTCCAGGTGCCATCATCACTTGTAAGGAGTCTTATCACCATTTAGGTTGTCCTCAGACCTTGTTTCCCTGTAGTACTCTCATGAACTTCCCTGACTATCTGCTCTAGTATCTCATTAGTTTTGGTGCTAGGAACAATTTTCATAATTCCTCACATT